TCGGTGTCATTGTATACTTCGTGTTGGCGAATGGACATGGCGTCAAACCCCCCGCAGAACTCGCCGTCGGTGGATCCACCACACTCATAGTCGCAGACGGCAAGACCATTTTGCGCATAGTCCGCCGTGCCCTCATCGCACCAGCACTGTTACCAGGATACAAACAGGAGCACAGCCAAGGAACGGGCGAGAGCATTTATTTTTCAACAAGAGATGAGCCGTTTTCTGGGCGTGATTAATGGAGGGCAGAGTTCGATAGACTGATGAGCCAACGTCCACAAGCGCGGCAGGGTTCGAGGAAAGCTTCGTGATGCCGCGCGCACCAGGATCGTATAGGTGCCTGTACTACAGTACATCTGTGTGCAAGTAGTCTGCAACAGCGAAAGCAATCCCGCCATGTTTCTGTTTCGGTCTGGCACGCTGTTCCCTCTCTCACTGAAGCCAGTGCAAACTTGGAACCCGATCATGAAGCAATGACTTGTCCGTCCGCAAGCGTGTCAATATCCTCGCGGTGCATGTGCTAAGGAGGAGGTTTCCTTTTAAACTAGCATACATAGTGAACGAGACAGAGCCTCATTCTTCACTCGGAACGGGCAGGTCTAGTGACGCCTCCGAGGGCTCCTGACTTGAATGGCGAAGTCGCAGCCTGTGACGACCCACGGGCGTCTCGCTCACACAATTCTCGCCAGAGGAAGGAAAACGCTCATCTCACCTCGGTTCCATACTGCGTCCCGTAATACGCATAATTGGCGCAGAGGCCTTCGCAGACCTGCAGCGTGGAATACAGCCGGACGTCAAGTGGCGCATCGATTGGAAGTATTTGTCCATCAGCCGTGGCGCACAGGTCAATTCGAAAATGTAGTAGTCGACTCATGCAATTCGTGTTGTGCTGAGATGTTGACGTCATAGAACACCCCGTACGTAGCTGCTAGCGTTGAAGGGCGACGGATTGACAAACTTCGTTTGTTGGATAAACGAACCCACCACTTGTTACATTAGCGGTTTGGAAGAGAGCAACTCGATCCGACTGCTCGTAACGAAGGGGGTTGTCGATCATTCCTCTATCCCCGTCCGCGACCGCAGCACGCGACGCCATCAAAATTTCCTGGCCTCATTATTGGTCATTCTGTCGGATGGGCTGGCGAGGTCGAGAGCTGCTTACCCTTTTGGAGTCCCTAATGTAGTCTTCGGCTCTTCACGCCCCAAGTACGGATTGACGCCAATATGCGGCACATCACGGTAGCCTCAGGGAGTAAGGAAAATGTACACAATGCACAATGACGAACCCCGAACCCAACTACTGGGCGCGTTGTACGACGATCAGTCTCTAGCCTGCTGCACACATGTGCCGGTCGCTCACCGCAGTAGTCATGTCGTCCGATGTGTCGATCAGGATGGGAAACAGCCGCGATTCCGCCGAGTGGGGATCGCTCCAGCACCCAAGGTAGTCGGGGTCGTTCGAGTAGACGGAGAGAGCGTACGACCCGCCACAGATCTCGTCAGAGTTGCCGGAGCAGGGCATGGCGCAGTCGCCGGGGCCATTGATGGCGTATCCGACGTTGTCACCGCACCAGCACTTGTTGAATTGAAACGAACGACGTACGTTCGGAATGATTTTGGTGGTGGCGTCAAAGGTGTGGAGGAGCGTCGTGGTTGCGAGAGCGGCGTGCGATGTTTGTCGCTACGGAGAGTGGGGTGAGGAAAGCAATCGTAGCAGTGGTAGTGGCGTCGAACCACGGTCCGCCGAGGAGAAGAGAGAATCAAACACGGAGGACCACACAGCATCTCGATTCGCGAAGGATGCTGTCATCAGTTGCCCCCGATCGCGAGTCGACCGTTCCGAATAGATCAAGGCGTGATGCTGTGCGATCACTGAGTCCGGTAGAAGATGAAACCACAATCACTGTTAATAATAACCTCGCTTGTGTAGCACTTCAGGAGATCAAGCAACAAACCATCAGTCAAAATATTGTACACCGGGGACCTGCCAATCCTTTTGGCCTCGCAGGTTGTCCTTGTTCCGTGGCACAAAGAAGGCATGATGCCCCAAGGCTCGACTATGCATTTTTTGGTCCCGCAACCTCCATCCCCGAATCACTGAACCGTCTTTCGCTCTTTTCCGTGATCACGATGCCGTTCGTCGCCTTCTCTGTTGATCGGCATATGGGTATGATCCCTTTGTTTTCATATTGTTTATTCATACCTCTGTCGAATAGTGGTTCCCATAGANGCCAAGCGACGAAAACCCAACCCCGATGACAAACACCGGGGGGGGGGGACCTGCCAAACCTTTTGGCTTCGCAGGTTGTCCTTGTTCAGTGGCACAAAGAAGGCATGATGCCCCAAGGCTCGACTATGCATTTTTTGGTCCCGCAACCTCCATCCCCGAATCACTGAACCGTCTTTCGCTCTTTTCCGTGATCACGATGCCGTTCGTCGCCTTCTCTGTTGATCGGCATATGGGTATGATCCCTTTGTTTTCATATTGTTTATTCATACCTCTGTCGAATAGTGGTTCCCATAGAAGTCCGACCCAGAGCAGAGCTCCGAACACAGCTGGGGTCGAAGTATTGCATGAATGCGTGCAAAGTCGTCGATGGTCAGTATTAAGGGGCGCGTGAAGGAATGGTGGGCACGTCCGCAGAAACCGGCATGGCCGCACTGGATGTGTCATTAGGCTTCAGGGGTCACAAAGCTACTTTGAAAGCGTGGAGGACTTCTGTATGATTTCCTAACGACATGAGCAGCACCAACTGCCGTGAGCAGGTCGACAAGAGTCTGCTTCATCTCGCACGCAGACCCTCGTGCCGACAACACAACGCAACCAAGTAAACATGAAATATCCTGGCGTGCGTTCGCCCATCATCGATCGATCGCTCCCATCTGCGGTCATTGCGGAGGTAGAAGACTGCCATTCGAAGACGTGGTTCTCAGCAGGGTCCGAGACGCACCTGCTCCGGCAACAGTCAGACTAGGCGATAATCTCACGAACCTAGGAGCTTGCTCCAAATGTGCAAAGACACAAGAGGCACGCACGTATGTACTCACGCCTAGGAGCTGGATGGTTGCCTACAGTACTGTACTTCACTCGGTTTCTGTATGGAAGGTGATTCCCCCATGATGCTCCAGACTATGGTCTGGCCGCTAGCTAATAGTATTCGGAGAATGCGCCCCGGTTATCGGGATATTCGTTCCTTGACCAGTCTAGGTGTAAGGGGGCTGAGGTGCCACAAGCGGTCAAATCGTCTTGTTGTGACGTTTGACCCATCTGAGATTGGACTCATCCAAAACTCATTGTCTCCAGTCGTAGGTGTGCGTGTAGAACACGATGCCTCAGCAGCTCGCGAGTACTGAAGCCGCTCGTGGGAACGCCGAGAAACTGTTTCTGCTTCGGCTGTTGCGGTATATTCACCGAGTTATCGTAGTAGTGGGCAGCGTTTCAGAGGACGATCCACTTCCCGATCAATAAGAGTCATACTTCGTACATCGTTGCCTCTTACCAATGGCGACGCCGAGGAAGAGCGTCAGTAGCGCCAGCGAAAGGAGATGCATCTTGACCTCGAAATTGCTGGAAAGCTGACACCTGACAGCAAAGACAATTGTTCGTCAGGCATACGTGCGAGATGGTCTTGTTGCGGCTCGTCGCCCTTGCACTGTTTTCCATCTGCATCCTCTGTACAAAGGCTTGTGAAGTTTGGGAGGAGAATCGATTGTCGAAAAACGCAATCAAAGGGTTGGTGATACCAAAAGCATGACTGTTGTGGGCCATTCAATACTTGCACCACGTACAACGTCCCCGCCAGGGTAGGGTCCTACGCAGGGAAAACGACAGGTAGGGGACTGCAAGTAATAGGTTCACGGTAGATCGCGCACAAAAGAGGTCTAAATGTATCCTATTTCTCCGACGGCCTTGACGAGTTTGGGCACTATCTCACTTCGGGATTGAGAGAAATTGGGAGGCATGTTGATTGTATTCTTTCCTCTGTGGGTGATCAGATCATGGCTGCCACTGCCTGCTCCAAGAGCACACGGCTACGTCTGGATCGAGGAGAAAACCCAACCACCCAAACATCACAAACATCCCGATGTAAAGAACTTCGAAACAATTTCTTTGTGACTGGTCTTATGTATACGGTGTTCTGTAGGTCGGGTGAACATATATTCTAGCGAGCGACAGGATACCCGAAGGACATCATCGAGAGAATGCACTGCTACGACATACAGCTAGTAGACACAACACCCACGCTCACAGTGCGTTCTTGGGGGCCTCAGGGGATCTTGAGCTGCTCGGGAGTGCAGACAGGGCGGGAAGTAGCAGAGTGTGAGCTGATGGGCGAGTGGGCAGAGGACGTCCTCTCGGATATTCCACGTATGTTCTCACACACGGTCATTTGCTCGAATTTGTATTGTGGGCGTCAATGGAGCCTTAAAGTGTGAGCGTGTGTTCGAAAGAGTCGGCGGGTTGTGTAATTGCTCACACGAAATGTTGACCATTCCTGTGTGGATTGCATTCACGTTCAGTGCATTTTCTTGTGGGAAACAGGGATCTGCACGTCAACGCAAGGGCTTTCCGTGTCACATGTCTGTGGGCGGCGGGTTTCACATGTCTTGTTGTCGTTGTTGTTGTTGTTGTCGTTTCTCACATTAGCTCTATAGTCCACAAAAAATGGGGAGCACGAAGGGTTCGGTGTAACCGTGAATCCGTGGTTTGTGGAAGCGTTCCGGAAATTTCGTGAAAGAGCGGCGAGAGGCAAAAAAGGGTACACGGGGGTATAGCTATGTACAGGGTGCAAAGAAGAGAGAGAGAGTGGCAGAAGCTTTTGGGATCCTTGGGAAGCCGAGGACCTCGAAGGGAAAAGCATTGCATCGCCCGCGAAGGCAGTGCAGCAAAGCAGCAGCGAGAGAATAGAGTTTTCGTTTGGGACTTGATCGAATTTGATCGAGTTTGTCCTAGACACGCCGGAGCGATGAACAACGGCAACAACCTGCAGCAGCAGGGTCAGGGTCCCCCCCAGCAGCCGCAGCCAGCGCAGCCAACGCAACCTCCACCGCCTCCACTGCCGCCTCCAGGTGGACCACCGCCCGCAGCTAACCAACAGCAGAGCAGCGGCGGCGGAGGAGGAGCAGTAGCGGCAGCTCCCCATGGTGGCGGACAGGCAGTAGCAGCGGGAAACCAGCCAGCAGGGGCGGCGGGAAACCAACAGGCGGCGGGACACAACAACGCGCCTCCGGCAGCAGGAGGAGGAGACCAGAACGCGGGCGGAGCCGCGCCAGCCGGGCTGGGAGGCCCACCTCCCCCCATCAACCCTGTCCAGCTACTGCTGCAGATGTCTGTACTGCTAAAAGAGCAAAACGACCGACTCGGCAACCTGGAGCTCAGGATGCAGCAGCAGCAGCAACAGCAGCAGCAGCACCCGCACGACCAGCACCAGCAACAGCAACAGCAACAGCAGCCTGGCCACCTCCCCCCTGGCGGCCTCCAGCAGCAAGGTCAGCCCCAGCCCATCAATCTCCCTCTAGGTGGCCAGATCGTGCTACAGCCCCAGCAAGCGCAAGCTCTGGGCCAAAACATGAACGTGTCGAACCAGGCCCACAACACCCATGTACAGAAAAAAAGGTTTCGCCACGATACGAAGGCATGGGGAGACGAGTCCGCGGCGACGCTGCTTCTGCTGCGCGGCGGGTGGTTCGTTAGCACCACGCTGTCAAAGAACGCAATCGCCCAGCTGCTGCGCAAAGTGGCCTATCCCGACGCCGAAATGATCGATTCGCTGATGACCCTCGCCAACGTCGACATCGCCAAGTTCTCCCCACCCCTCCCTACGGGGTGGACCCCGCAGCCACGCGACTTCACCGTTCACCTCGAGACGTTCGTGGAAGCATTCTTCGCCGTGTTGGACCAAGGCACACACGCCGCAGGCGAACCATCGACCGGTCGCAGGCAACGGTTGAAAGCCGAAGTCAGCCGCGTTGTGTCCAACGCCCGGGACAACCTCAGCCTTCATTCAGCGGAGATCACGGGTCAAGAAGCAGCGGTGAAGACGCGCCTGATCACCGACACCAACACCGACATCAACAAGTATCTCGGGAACATCTCAGACGTTGGCGTCGCGACCCGCGCCGACCACGAAATCTCCCCGCCGGCAGACGACGACGTGCAACCCGTCCCCCCCGCCGTGTTTTCGCGGCTGCGCGGTCTCACCGCGGAAGGCAGCGCCAACCCCATCGTCGGAAAGCTTAACAACGGCCTGGCCGGGCTCCCGCAGCCACAGAAGAGGAAAGCGTCAGCGAGCAGCGCCACGAGCGGACATACAGCATCCCGCCCGCGGATAATCGCCGCACCCGTCTCCAACCAACAAGCGGTGGCGACACTGTCCTCGTTCCAGCAGGACCTCCTCACGTGGGGAACCCCCCACCCTGCGTGTCACTCCCACTGGAAAGGGCAAAAGTGCACCCGCCCGCACTGCACCCTCAACCACGTACAGGTTCACCCCAGCGTCGCCCCCCCCGGTCCGCCGCCCAGTCCGCCGCCAACAGCCCCAGCCCGGGCCCCCGCCCCCGCGATCGCCCTTGCTCCTGCCCCCGCCCCCGCCCTCGCCCCCGCCGCATCACGCCCCGTGGTCGCCCGTTACAGCAACAACTACAGGCCACACGGAGCAGCAGGAACCAACTCCTGACAATACGGGCCCCATCCAGAGGTGGGGCCAACGCGGCTGAGGGGGGCGGGTGGCACCACGGTAGCAGCTTTTGTAGGCAGGAGCAGGACCGTGGCGCTAACTGAAGCGCCTCTTTCCGGGTTGGTGGCACCGAACGTGGTCTACGGTGAGAGAAGAAGTACCCGCCCGAGTAAATTTAGTACCAATAGTGAGGAACATGAACTTACTGCAGAGCCAGAGTTGATAGGCCAATCTCACCAAGGAGTAAAACAACGGGGTACTTTTAGAAGTACCAGCCAAAGTAATTCACGCACCAATAGTGATGAACATGAAATTATTGCAGAACCAGCGCTATTGGATCCCTCTATCCAAGGAGGACAACCGTGTGCTAGACTTGAACGAGTGAGAGAAAAAGACCGCCGTAACACGGGAGACAATAGACCCGGCGTGAACGCTGGAGAAGACCCCAGTAACAAGGGAGAAGCAGACCCCTCGCACTAGGGAGAAGATCGCAAGAGTGCTAGACCCAATACGTGTATTGGAGACAAAGACAGAGAAGGACCTAGTGGGAACACTAGAGAAGACCCCCGTATCAAGGGAGAAACGGACCCTCGCACCAGGGAGAAGATCGCAAGAGTGCTAGACCCAATACGTGTATTGGAGACAAAGACAGAGAAGGACCTAGTGGGAACACTAGAGAAGACCCCCGTATCAAGGGAGAAACGGACCCTCGCACCAGGGAGAAGATCGCAAGAGTGCTAGACCCAATACGTGTATTGGAGACAAAGACAGAGAAGGACCTAGTGGGAACACTAGAGAAGACCCCCGTATCAAGGGAGAAACGGACCCTCGCACCAGGGAGAAGATCGCAAGAGTGCTAGACCCAATTCGTGTATTGGAGAGAAAGACCTAGTGGGTCNAGTACCAGCCAAAGTAATTCACGCACCAATAGTGATGAACATGAAATTATTGCAGAACCAGCGCTATTGGATCCCTCTATCCAAGGAGGACAACCGTGTGCTAGACTTGAACGAGTGAGAGAAAAAGACCGCCGTAACACGGGAGACAATAGACCCGGCGTGAACGCTGGAGAAGACCCCAGTAACAAGGGAGAAGCAGACCCCTCGCACTAGGGAGAAGATCGCAAGAGTGCTAGACCCAATTCGTGTATTGGAGAGAAAGACCTAGTGGGTACACTAGAGAAGACCCCTGTAACAAGGGAGAAACGGACCCCTCGCACCAGGGAGAACAACGCAAGAGTGCTAGACCCAATACGTGTATTGGAGACAAAGATAGAGAAAGACCCAGTGAGAAAACTGGAGAAGACCTCCGCAACAAGGAAGAAGCAGCCCCCTCGCACGAGAGAGAAAATCGCAAGAGTGCTCGACACAAGACGTGTATTGGAGACAAAGACCCCTACGGCAAGAGGGACACGGGTAGTGACGGGTCGGCAGCCTTGCCACCTCCTTACGGGAAGCTACTGGCTGAAATGTGGAGAGAACAAAAGGAATGCCTCGCACGTGGCACACGAATTGACGAAAAACAGGAAATCATCCACGAACTTGCGAAGACTGGTAGCATGCTTCTGAAAACGAACGACGGAAAGTTGGGAGATGTCGCGAGGGCAATCGGCGGCACCTTGGTGTCACTGCCGCTAAACCTGAGCGACCTCGAACAACACTTCGGAACCAAAAAACGCTTCCCAGACTTAAACGAATTTCGTAGACATCATGGACAACGGTGTGCCAGCGAAAACACACGACAGCCCGCCAAACCTCGAGATCGCGCTGCGATACGGAAATCACAGTACGATAGACGCCCACATGGAACTGGTGTGGAAGAAGCTGATAGACGACGTCGAGCAGAACATATGCCTCGTATTCAACGTAGCGGACGCAACTTGCATGAAGCGCGTCTCGCCGCTAGGAGCAGTGGTAGGAAAAACAAATCAGAAACATCAACGATTTTTCTTTTGACTCCAAGCTGCTGCGCGGACAGAAGGGCGGAGTCAACGTCGATACGGTATCGGAAGAAGTACCCGACTGTTTGTGCGGAGAGACTCTACCTGCTTTCCTTTCTGAGATAACACGCTTAAGAGTCAAATGGCCTGACAAGAGGATACTAGTGTCCACGGCTGACGTGAACAACCCAAACCGAAACGTGAGAGTTGCGCCAGACGATGCACAAAAATTCTGCTATGTGATAGGAGACGTACTAGTCGCCGACTTCAGACTGACGTTGGGATGGGCAGATTCGCCCGGTTTTTGGGGAGTCATGGCGTCCGCCGCTGAACACTCACACCGCAACACCAACGTACACAACGTACAACTAGTAGACGAAGGGATCGAAATGATGTCACATGTGAAAATAGTCGAGCCGTGGGAAGGCGGACAACCCGCCCGAGTGCCCCGAGATTCCAACGTGAAACCGCACGACGGAGGCGGACCACACGATTATTTCTCGTGCGGGGTGTACGTAGACGATTTCGCTTTACTGAAAGTACAACATGCGCCAGACGACGCATCAACGTTGGTAGCCTCCGCGTCATTAGCGTCTGACTGTATGAGACTCTTCGGGCCAGCAGAGGCGGGCCAAACGCCCATTCTTGCCCTGAAGAAAAGCACAGACTGGAACACGAAAGTGGACTTTCTCGGACACACGATAGACACCCATAAAATGACGATCGCGACAACACGTGAGAGGATCGACGCGATAAGGACCGCGCTAGAGAACGATTGGCCACAGACCAGAGAATTCGCCAGTGTGCAAGAAGTCCTGAGTATGGCGGGAAAACTCTGGAACCTGACATGCGTCATGAGGGCGGGGAAATATTTCGTATGGCACCTCTTTCGCCTCACCGGACTACACAACAAGACTAACAGACAGGCGAGAGAGAAGCGGCAGGTACGTCTTGGTTGGGAGTTCCAAGGAGACCTAGACTTCTGGAGATGGGCGCTGGAAGTTAAATTCAAGGAGAAAGGAGAGTCACTTAGCGCGTTCTTTTTTAACCACGTCCAACGCACGCCTCTCCGTCACTACCTATCGGATGCTAGCTTCGACGCGGTAGGCGGACACTGTCCCGAATTAAAAGTGTTCTGGCGGTATCGATTTCAACCGGCGTTTACCGCGGAGCTGAAAAGGAAAGCAGAAGCCAAAGAAACCAGCGCAATCACGATCAACATGCTAGAATTGCGCGGGATGATAATTACATGCTGGGTGGTCCAAATGGTTGTGGGAGAAAAGCCGACGCAACCCGGACAAGCTATCATGATGAGGGGAGACAACGTGTCGGCGGTATCATGGGTAAACAGATGCGGGGGCTCGAGAGACAGGCGAGCGGGACTGCTCATGAGGCTGCTTGGCCGCATGGAGATTGAAAACGGATGGTGTCACGTGGCGAAACACATCCCAGGACGCGAGAATACCCTCGCGGACGGGATATCTAGATGGAAGTCAGAGGACGTAATAGTTAACATGGAAAGACTCACGCACGACGATAACTGGCGAATGCAAGACATCGGAGACAACGGAAGAGAACTAATTGAAATGATACTGCAGGAGAAACTCCCGAACCAAAGAATGGATGGCCTCGTGTGGAGCCGCATGGAGAGCGGGTAAAGAGAAGAAGTGATGAGAGAATGATCAGCAAAAGAACTTAAAAAAAGCAAGAAGANATAGGCGAGCGGGACTGCTCATGAGACTGCTTGGTCGTATGGAGATTGACAACGGATGGTGTCACGTGGCGAAACACATCCGGGGACGCGAGAATACCCTCGCGGACGGGATATCTAGATGGAAGTCAGAGGACGTAGCAGTCAATGTGGAAAGACTCACGCATGATAATAACTGGCGAATGCAAGACATCGGAGACAACGGAAGAGAACTAATTGAAATGATACTGCAGGAGAAACTCCTGAACCAAAGAATGGATGGCCTCGTGTGGAGCCGCATGGCAAGCGTGTAAAGAGAAGAAGTGATGAGAGAATGATAGCAAAAGAACTAAACAAAAGGTGTGATGACTCTAACGTGTTCAAGCGCAGGAAGCGAACACGGGACGAAGGGAACGAGCGATGAAGGCGAAAGGCTCCTCAGGATTATGGACCACGGCTCCCTCAACGCGATCACGCTGAAGGGATAGCACAGCAAGTAGGACACGTGGACAGCTGAAAGAGCTCAAGCGAATCTGAGTCCATGGTTGTACGAAGAAGACGGTGTGGATAGCGCAGTGAGAGAGCTAACTGTGTTCATGGCGTCGAGGTGTTTGGCGTACAAGAACCAGAGCCAAACGGTGAAGGGATACCTCGCGGCTATCAAGTATTTCCATAAACTGTACGCAGGCTGGGAGCTGCCCACGTCGCACTTCAGAGTGGTAGCTGTTGGGAACGCAATAGACAGACTGCATGCGAGGGCAGAGACTAAACCGTTGGTAAGGCAACCGCTCACCGTGCCGATGATCATTGCTGGTAGAGAAAGAGCGCACACGAATGCTTTCGGACTAGTGACGTGGAGGGGGATCGCTCTCTCATATTTCTTGCTGTGCCGAGCGTCTGAGCTGTGGGCCTACCAGAACGGCTTAGTACACGCCGATTTTTGTCTCACGAGAGGGAACCTCGTATTCTTCGAAGGATCGTGTCAGCTAGCGTGGCACGAAAGAAGGCGGGCAGACAGAGTAGAGGTGACTTTCCGCGCATCGAAAGCGGACCAAAAGAGGCGAGGCGCGNTGTCGGCTAGCGTGGAACGAAAGAAGGCGGGCAGACAGAGTAGAAGTGACCTTTCGCGCGTCGAAAGCGGACCAAAGAGGCGAGGCGCGGTAGGTAGTAACGAGAGAGAGAGAGAGTAGTGCGGGACGAGGAAGGGGGACAGATGGCTGGGAAGATGGGGGCGCTAGAGATCTTGCTGAATCTGCTTGACGTGCACCCAGAGTTAGGAAGTAGCGCGCCGCTCATGCAGTCGGTCAAGCAGGGACGGTGGGCAGTAGTGTCGAGGTCGGAAGCAACGACAGTGCTGAGAGACATGGCGAGAAGAGTAGGAGAAGACCCAACGCACTTCGCGCTGCATTCAGGGAGGATAGGTGGTGCGACGCAACTAGCAAAGCAGGGCGCATCGGTTGTTCAGATTCAGAGGGCGGGGAGGTGGAAGTCAGGAGCCTTTATGACGTACGTGAGGGCAGGAGGCGACGGCGCTAACTGTGTATCGCGTGCACTAGCGTCTAGCTGAAGGGGAGTAGTAGCGTGGACAAGAGCACCGAGTATCGGGCCGCGCAATGGGATATGACCTGGGCATAGACGTCGGATTGGCCCGATAAGTGATACCTAGTGAGTCCGGGAACAAGTCAATGGTTCGGCTCATAGGTTGGATTTTGGTTTTGATATTTTTTGGTTTCGGCGTTTCTGATTTCTTGTCGCCTTTTCTAATAATCCAAATTTCTTTAGCAAAACACAAAACGAAGGAGTCGGTAAAACCGTGAATCCGTGGTTTGTGGAAGCGTTCCGGAAATTCCGTGAAAGAGCGGCGAGAGGCAAAAAAGGTTACACGGGGGTATAGCTATGTACAGGGTGCAAAGACGAGAGAGGGAGTGGCAGAAGCTTTTGGGATCCTTGGGAAGCCGAGGACCTCGAAGGGAAAAGCGTTGCATCGCCCGCGAAGGCGGTGCAGCAAAGCAGCAGCGAGAGAATAGAGTTTTCGTTTGGGACTTGATCGAATTTTCCCACCCACCCACTCTGTCGCTCAAGAGAGGAGGGATCAATGGGAATAGAAAAATCTGTCTAGTACCAAATTTGTTTTCCAATGTGCGTTGATTTTTGTGTTTTCTTGTGAAGGGATATGACCTGGGTATAGACGTCGGGTTGGCCCGATAAGTGATACCAGTGAGTCCGAGAAGAAGTCAATGGTTCGGCTCATAGGTTGGATATTGATTTTGATATTTTTTGGTTTCGGCGTTTCTGATTTCTTGTCGCCTGCCTTTTCTTGAGCAAAACACAAACCGTGTGGTCTCAAAACCCGGCAGACACGACGCGGAAAAAAAACAAAAAGGGTACAATCCACTCGGAAAACGAAAACAAAATGACAGAAAGAAAATAACAGGTATTGCACCGACCGTTCGAGGAAAGAGCCCTCGGAAACCGATCAAATTAAGACAAGAACAAAAATATGGAGGACGCTTCCCACACCCGCCTGTGGGCCGCGGGGTGCACTCTCTTGAGTGGGCGAACCTGACAGTCCTGAGAAGGTCACACCGTGATCGGTTTTGTGGAATTCCACGCGAGTGCTTGCAGCACAGCAGTAGGCCCCATGCGTGCACGAATGGGTCCGACATAGCTGGCCATTGGGACGAATGGGGACAGTTTGGGTATGCTGTAGGTCCCGTTCTGGTGTGGCACACAGAGATGCGACCTTGGTTGGTATCAGCAGGCATCTCGACATGTTGTGAGGGCTCTGTCACACCATCAGAACTTCGGGCTGAGGATGTCGGGGAATTTTTCTGGCTCTCAGGAATCCCATATCCTCCTACATACCTGTTTTTACACACATAGGTTGTTTTTCGGGATTCATCAAGCCGGTGGTGGCGTTCTGGGTCACAGGGCGTTGCTGCGGTCCCGGAAGGAGTCCATGCTCCTATCCCGGCGTCATCCGCGTGGTACAAAACTCCGGCTACACTTGTAGGTACCCGGTTGCTGATGTATGTCATCATCCGTCTTGCCCGGATGAGGGGAAAATCATTGACGTTTTACTTTTCTCTCGCACTGCTGCCTAGCACACCCAACGATACCACAACCGAAATTTGTTTTTTATTATTATTTTGTTTGCCTTCCGACAATTGCAGATAAACTGAAAATTGTAGTTCCACTGTTGCCACACACGTGTTATTCCCGCACCCAATCACTGCTGGCGCGTGACCCAAAGACAATCTCGTACATTAATTCAACCAGAATTTTCTGGCGATATGGGTGTACTCATCACACGTGCTCGCGCCTATTATGCAAAAGAGGCAAAAATTCCCATTTTGTTACATTTATCCACACATCACAAATCCTGGAATCACATCCGGAAACAGTCTCTCCCCGCAGAGTTGTGGTTTATTCTGCTACAACTCTCGCCGTAGTGCTGATCCCAAACCGTGCACACCATCTATGGATTGGCCACACATAGGCGATACTCACACCCCTATTCCCTGTCAATTTTGGTTCACCCCATCGGGTGACCCAACTGCATTTATGTCCGTTGCGTGGTTCCAGGATTTCGAATACAGGCTGTTTTTGCTTTGTTCTGCTGCGTTGTTCAACCCGCGCAGGCGTCGTCACACGGCCAGCCAGCGCTCCATTGACTGCAGCAGAGGTGCGTGAGTGACTTGTTAGGGTTCTTTGCACACGGTCCTTTCGAATATCACCTCACGCATGAGTATCGTAGTTTTTGGTCAAGAGGTATGATCGGCAATTACCCGAAATTTATGACGATCTCTTGCACATGACGGTGCGCCCCACACGCCTACCGTATATGACACAGGATAACACACCCCCTGGACCAGTTTTCAAAGATCGATTACACCACGACGAAGAGGATGAATAAACAGAACGATACATTTTTGAAAATCTCTCGACGAGACGGTTCCAACACCGCTGTTTTCGGCGCTGTGACTGTTCCTGCAGTCGAGAAATCGAGCTTCGAAAATTGTCCAAGGGGGTGTGTTATCTTGTGTCATATACGGTAGCCACAACAGCGAACGCCTGGTCTGTTGATGTTAGCAGTCGCGCTGCCGTCGAGAGTGTGCACATGAGATCTGGCTGTCCTATGGGCTAGTCATCGTTTTTTTCACAGCAAATGCAACAGCGGTCCGTCGTGCCCCTGCTACCTAGAGCCTTCCAACAGCAGTACAAAATTTAAATTTTGAATTTCGAGCACACTTTCGAGCACACACGTCACCGCTGCACTCCTCACGCCACACACACTTGCTTGTGCAATCGGCAGTTGCGACGGCAACTTGCGTATGCAATGTGAGGGCCCACAATAATAGTCGCTCATGTTCTCCTGCGTGAACCACTGGTGTACCGATTGTTGAAAGAGTGCAAAATGTTCCGTTGTGGGTGGTACATGGACATGCGTGGGCCTGTGTTTTTCCAAGTCGTTTGTATCCTATTTTTGTTTTGTTTCCCCGCGGCGTCGTATGTGCCGGGTTTTGAGACCACGGGCTCCCCATTTTTGTTGACTATAGAGCTAATGTGAGAAACAACAACAACAACTGTAGTCTAGTATGCATTTGCAGACCTTCCACGCGTGACAGCAACAAAAGTCCTGGGGACACAACATCCTCGTTGCTCGGTTGACATGTCTGCCTGGACGTGGCAACCCACGTTGACAGGTCCAAGCATTTGGCGCCAAGCATTTGTNGGGGGGGGGGTACTCATAGTCGTGCATGCCGTAGTCGTTAGACCATTGGGGAAGCTATTCGTGGAAAGGTCTCCCTTGCAACAGTCCACACGAAAATAAAGAAACTACTCTCCGGGGACGTTAGGGACGGTGTGTCGGCGGAGACTGCTTCCGACCTGGTCAACTTTGCTGCCAGCTTTGTGCAGACATTGGACGGAAAGCAAATCGACCGCATCCTACCGGTAATTGCCGACCTGAAGCGAGTGGGGGGGTACCTAACCCGGCTGTTGTGTCGAATGCGGTCTAGACTACACTCCAACTTTCTTTTTCTCAGTGGACAACCTTAACTACTGAGGGCTTCGTAGAGTAAATGCTACCGGATGATTGCAAATAGAGTAACAACGACAGATGCACGCGACGAGACGTACGGCGTGGAGGGGAACGTTCTCGCGACAGGCTCTGCGCTGATGTCATATCTTTTTCGGCGCCCACACCATTTGTGCGCGATCGTACGACAGGCTCTCAACCACGCGTACATGGCGGGGAAGAACAACAAAGAGAGAAGAGGGCAGGGGGGGGAAGTACGGGAGGGTGGGGTGGTGGTGCCTACAAGCGAAGATCCCGTGATAGTGGAGGTGAGTCCTGCTACAACGGTACCACATTTTGGCCCATCATATTGGGATTCTTCAGAAATTAATTTCTAACATCAACTCCGAATTTGAACGTCAGTTGTGTTTCATCAAGCCGTTCGGAAGACTTCTCGCGTGGTGTCAGTGTCCGTCCCAGGCTGAGATATCGCGCTTGCATGTTTGAAAACTCAGACGCAATTCATGCATCCCTACTTGCATGAACCAGGTATTTTCGGTTGACACAGACGTTTGGATCGCAGCTCTCCTGGCGTACGCCGTGCATCCGTCGACTCGGGATGTGCGTATCATCGTGCGACAATAGAGCGGGGTGACCGGTAACACCAATGTCCACTGCATCGACGTCCTGAAGTTTTGCCAAGATCTAACGGCAATGCGAAATTGGCCATCTTCGTTCACCAACTTGCAGAGGGTGCTTCCGATAGTCTCCGCACACGTTCTTAACGGGACTGACTTTACTCCAACGCTTAGTGGCTTGACGGCATCCAGTATGTTCCAAGCATACGACGACGCGTTGAAGGATGCCGGCAACCACAATTTTGTTCTACCGCTGGGTTCCGAGCAACGTGAGGGGGGCTCGGTATCTGGGGTAGACCTGGCCAAAGAGGAAATCCGGAAGTTTGTCTCGCTAGCGTACTTTACAAAACATCGCAAACTCTCTGTGAACGTCCTTCCGGGACGCCAGGCAAGGTCGGAATACCTGGAAGGGCAGGTCGATGACGTACGGCCATGGGTCCAGGCCATCAGCGAGCGCACGACCGAACACTGTTTTGGGAAGGGGGACATTAAGGCTGCTGCCCCAAATTACGACGTTATTAACAACTGCGTGCCGCGCATGGAATGGGTGGTGGAGTATTGGCTCTCGATTGTGCCCGTCCCTTCCGAAAATGTGTCCGCCAGGTATCCGATTAAAATTCCCGACTGGAACGGCAAGGGGTACATTGCGAATCCGGAGTGCGAAGGGGGGGCTTTGCTGCTGTTGTGTGAATTGCCGAAGGTGACCCTCTGGGCGGGTGTAGGAATTCACATCGTGTCGTGCAGATGTTCATCCGAGAGGGGAAAGGGTCAATGTAGGGGCTGCGTTTGCATGCAAAGGGGTGGTCCAGGTCGTCGTTCACAGGTGTGCAAATGCAACCTTGCATGCCTTGAGGAACCAAGCACGTTACCCAGGGTGCAGCGAGGGTCTACTCCTGAGGAGGTACTGCCCGACGATGATGATAGTGGCAGCGAGTCCGAGTCTGATGAAGATGAAGAATCGCCGATCGTGGAACGTTTGGGTGGTTTCGACCAAGAAAGGCATTCGTCGTTTGGGGTGCACTCCGATGTGTGCGGATTCTCCGAAGAGGATGCGCGAGAGTACGAGGAACAATTCGCAACGAAGGGTTGGGCGGGGGTACGCAGCAGCGGGTGATGTTGTCGACCGATAATATGGCAGCGCCGGTTAAGGATATGTCCGTTTGATAATTGATAATATTTCGTCGTATTCCTTGCTGCAAATATATCAGTAACAGGACGCAGATCCCGAAGCACTGCAAACAAATATTTGGGGCAGTTCTTCACATGACGCCACCCGGTACAACTGCTTTTGGTAGTAAATTTACACACAAAACGAAAATAGGCACACACGCTCCCATGCCGCGGCCAGCGTGCCGTGCGCCGCGGACCCAGAAAGGGAAGCTGCCGAAAAGGTCAATGAGAAACGCCGGCACACGAGCGAGAGCGTCTTTGCCACCCAACAACGACAGACACTTGACCCCCATATACTCGAGTCGGGTGCGTGTTGCCGGAAAATCGCGCAGTCGCAGCAGTGGTGCATTTCCCTCATTCCTATCGCACCCACGAGGTGCTCGTGCGCATTACCGTTCAATGTCGGAACATCGGCTTGTGGGGTCAACCGCAAGAGGCGCGCCCTCTGACACCTAAGGTTAGCTGAAGAGTGACGTAATTGTAAGCGTGACACGAAAAAAAAAACATCCATGCGCGATTTCGTCCTCCCGGACTATCAACAACCCATTCTAACTAGGAAGAAATAAAAGCTTCGTGCTATCACTACTACTAGAGCCACACCAGGAGGGTACCACACATCCCAAAGTTTGCCAACCCTTACGTGGGCGGGTTGGTGCCGGGCCCTGCTCATCATTATGCTAAGCGCCGGGGGGTTCGCCTGAAGCCAACCTGCTCGGTCGGCACAGGGTTCCAGGAACGACAGCGGCAATTTCAGCGCCTAGCCTTCCTTCGCAACCGTCAACGCCGCCTTGACAAAGGCCAGCGCGCCCTTGTACGGGGGGCTCGTCATGACCCAGTTGAGTTGTTGTCCGTTGTGTGCTGCGAGGTAGTCGTCCGCAAATGACGCCGAGCTCGCGTCCAGGTTCGTGTCCGGAGACAACTTAAAACCCAAAACAGGTGAGCGAACATGTGGGATGCAAAGGGCGTCAGATCATAAATCAACACTGTCACGTTTTTGTTTGAGGAAAAAGGTTTTTCTACAAAGGTTAGACTACAACAACACCGAAGACTTTGGACCATACCAAAGAAAAAAAAATGCCTGCGTCACTGTCGGTCACTTGCAGACTACGAATTTCCCCGACATGCTTCGGCAAAAATCGGATACAGTCAAGCTTGAGTTGCTCCATGTGCGTGTACCGAAAGCAACATTTGTGCCGTGAGTACACTCGGTTTGCGGCCTATTGAACTATGGAAGATTCAAACAACAATGCATCTCGTTTTACACAGCCAAACTTTGACGATAAAAAAGGGCTGGACAAACAATGAGCGTCCGCTGGTCCGAGCCTACCTACGACGGGACCTCCGAAAGAAGGCATGTACAGCTTAGAGCAGATTGCACAACTAGGTCCGTCGTATGTAACTCAGCAGCATTGAAAACATATTGACTGTTATTCGCCTAGCCGGATGTACATGCCTGTAGCTAGATCCTTGCGACGGACCACACCTAGAGGCAAACAGCGTTCATGATACGCCTACGAGTTACGTCAGTTCGTGCTGGGTAGTTCAATGTTATGTTACGCTAGAACACCCAGCGCAATGGATGGCAGGACGGGTGGCTATCTAGTTCGCATACCTCACCCCAAGCACACAAAAAAAACGCGCAGCATCCCCTCACCTCGCTCGGTCGTACATCGTTCGTGAGTACTTGTGACCGGTCGCCCCGGTGGCCTGTGGTCCTCGTAATCCGCTAGTCGCAGAGGTCGTGAGTTCGAATCCCCATGGGGTGAATTTACGAAATTNTACCTCACCCCAAGCACACAAAAAAAACGCGCAGCATCCCCTCACCTCGCTCGGTCGTACATCGTTCGTGAGTACTTGTGACCGGTCGCCCCGGTGGCCTGTGGTCCTCGTAATCCGCTAGTCGCAGAGGTCGTGAGTTCGAATCCCCATGGGGTGAATTTACGAAATTTGCGGGTGAAAGCGAACTATAGCTAAAAAGCTCTCGTGAGTACCAAACTTCGACGTTAGCACCGTTGACGAGGGGAAGGGACGGCTGGATGGACCCTTCTCGCGATAAAAGTAAAATTTTGCACGCACCGCAGGAGGAAGGGGGGGCATGAAAAGAAATACAAAGAAGAAAAAAGCCCTGGTGTTTACCCCCTGCCTCCTGTGTGACCCTGGATGGTGGTAGTTGTACGAAAAAATACACTGAAAAGTAGTTGTGAATCGGAACGATGTACACGATATATATCGTCCGATATATATAGGCGATATATCGGAGAAAATATCGTTATATCGGCTGCTGCGCAGCCGATGTAAAATATATCGTTTTTTCGTACCGATTCACAACTCTGAAAAGTGTAGTGCTCTACATACGCTGAAAAGTGTAGGACACGTCTCACCACGAAAAATAGGACGAAAACACAACACACTTGGCACGTGTCTCGAAGGCGAGTCACTACAGCATCACCCGCCCCCCCGCACATGTCCAGCACACACCCGCTGATGCTAACAACACCCAGCAAAGCCTCCAGCGCCGCAGGCGAAGTGCAGTAGTAGTAATAGCGATCAAAACACCGGCGTTTTATTAGCTGCTTGACAGGTTCAGGAGCGCACGTACGTCCACTTCGGCCCTCGCTTTGCTCGGCGTTTGCTACGCGCCCTGCTCTCCTCTTTGCTGGTTCAGGACGAACAACTCCAGTCCAATAGGCAACCCCCACGTTTACATAGGACGAGCTTGTCTATGTCTGGATCGCCGCACTTCAAGGCGGGGAACTTGTCTGCCACGCCGGCTGCCTCCACGAATGCCCGGACATTACCCCCGGTCCTTTCTCTCATGCAGCAAACGTCAATTCTTGCCGTCNTGCTGCAGTATTCCTCCGACATCACCCTGTCCGACAAAAAGAGACGGCAGCAACATTCTACGTGTCAATTTGGGAGCTTCATGTGAGGGAAAGTGAACCTAGGGCACACATATTCTGACCGGTCGCCCCGGTGGTCTGATGAGTAACCTCGCAGCCTGCTAAGGGCCAGGTCATGGGTTCGAGTCCCGGCAGGGTGAGTTTTTTTCTCACTAAATATATCCTGGTCTCGGATGAAAGCGACGCGCTGCAAAGCTCGTTGTTAGTAAACCATCATCGATTTTGAAAGTCGCGAGGGAAGGGATTGCTGTACCCTTTACGCGATAAAAATACCTCAGGCAGGAACCGCAGGAGGGGGTCCGGCCCTCCCCTCCCACGTGACCCCGGTTGGGTCGTCTAGCTAGAAGAAGTGAAGGATAGGGGCCAGAGGGGCAAACGACAGAGTCCCATGATGGGAGAAAACAAAAAATATAGACTACAAGTATACATTTTTCTCACTTAATAAATCCTGGTCTCGGATGAAAGCGACGCGCTGCAAAGCTCGTTGTTAGTAAACCATCATCGACTCCGAAAGTCGCGAGGGAAGGGATTGCTGTAGCCTTTTCGCGATAAAAATACCTCAGGCAGGAACCGCAGGAGGGGGTCCAGCCCCCCCCCCCTATGTGACCCCGGTTGGGTCGTCTAGCAAGTAGAAGTGGAGGATAGGGGCCAGAGGGGCAGACGACAGAGTCCAATGATGGGAGAGAAAAAAAAAAAACATCCTGTTACTTTCATGGCTGAACAAGCAGTGCAAGAGAGGCACTGGGGCCGCTTGACCTGCTGTACCGGGTAGCAGCGGTGCAACCCAACCCGCGTTCTGGCAAGTTCCGCCGCGTTTTTGGAGGCACATCTGCTACAACGATTTCACGCGCTGCAGTGCTGATACCAAATCGTGCACATCTTTTATTCAACCTTCGTCTATGGACCCGGTCAACTGCCACTTCAATTGCTGCTGCAGAGCATGTTTTGATGGTAACCCAATTGACTGAAAGTTGCCTGGCAAACCCGGTGTTACCGTAGCCCAAAACGTTCCTCTTGTGCCCTCAAGTCATACACCCCCGTCTTTCTCCACCTTTCCTTCATTAAAATGCCATTGAATCTCTCACCGGTGTACTATACAACATGATCGAAGTTGCCGCCAAGTTTCGTGCCGATCTGCGGTGTTGGTGTGGAGCACTGCGCTGGTGAAAAGGTGGTAGCAGTGGTGGCCCTCGGGGCGCCAACGCGGGCGGATATTTTATGCATTCCCCGCTGACCCGCGCCCCCCCCCCGGTGTTTGCCGTCGGGATTGGGTTTTCGTCGCTTGGCAACGACGTTGTAAAACAAGCCAATTCACTTCGTGAACTCGGCAACCAGGTTAACCGTTTTTTTTTTTACCTCCGTTTTTTTTTTGGCGGTAACCATAATGGTGGCCGAGTAGATCATGTTGTGCGGGGTGGAGAACCCTCACTCCGCGCAAGGGGGATGATCGCACCACGTTGTGTTAAAATGGTCAAGCACCCTCGAGGCAGTTACACAGTGCTTACAACTGTCTCTGGAAGTGAAAGCACCAGAAAATAAATGAAGTCATACAGAAGTACGCAGCTGTCATCCGTACGCAAGAAAGCAAGCACAAGATGCCGAACACCCGTAGCAGGATGCAGCGCACCCTTCATGCGACTCGCCGAATATCTCACGGCGCTTCGCGCTTGGTAATGTGAGAGCCTGGTCCCGTGAGAACCCGGCGTGCTCCGTCCCGGCTTTGTAGGGATGCGAGGTCAATGGTCTAACGACTACGGCATGCACGACTATGAGTACACCCCCCCATCCCGCTGACCCGCGGCGTTATTTGTTGTGTGTACTTTTTTTGCTTTCCTATTGGCGCCAACACGTGTGTCATAGTCGTGCATGCCGTGATCGTTAGGCCATTGACCTCGCATCCCTACAAAGCCGGGACGGAGCACCCCGGGTTCTCACCGGACCAGGCTCTCACATCACCAAGCGCGAAGCGCCGTGAGATATTCGGCGAGTCGCATGAAGGGTGCGCTGCATCCTGCTAAGGGTNATGGCAATATGGGGTTCGAAAAAAAAACAAAAAACATAATGAACTCATTCCCTGCATTTGTAAATCTTCAAACACGCCAACCTTCTTTCCCAATCCTCTCGCCAATTCCAACGCCATGAACCTTCACTCCACCACTCTCCCATCGAACCCCGACACTATGTAGCTTCACTCATGCCACCCTCCCCCAACCAGCCTCGACGCACGTACACGCGGCGCCTCTTGTCCTAGGAGTGACTTGCACATCCACTACCATCGCGCTACATGACCAGCCCATTCATTCCACCACCATCGCGCTAGTGAAAAGAAGTAGAGGCCCTGCTGCTCCTGGTCAGCAAAGAGAGCCTGAACAGAAACTGGAAAAAAAAACACCGAACGAAAGCCCCGCTTCCTCGCCCGCCTGGGAACACAACTCGCCGAAGTGAACTTAACTCCTTGGCAGCAAACTTGAGTTCAAGCACACAGACTTTGGGCCATGAAGACGGACGGGGCTCTAACGGTCTTCCATCCCGGGCGGTCTTCGGCGGGGTGGGGTCTTACATCCCGACTTCGGCTGCGTTCGTGTTTACGGAATGTCATGCTCCCAAGTAAATGCGTTTGTTCACGCAACGGCCATGCTTCCAAGCAAATTGATGTGACCATCCAGATTATCTTTAGCGCCGTCTCATACTACGTGACCCCCCCCCCTTACCAAGCCAAGACACGACGGACTCTACATCGGACCCCCGCGTTCCTCATTCGACTGTTTTGCGACAGGGGAGGATAGCGTTCCAAGCCAGAGAAAACGGAGACGTTGGCAAAGGCCGCGACTCGAATCGTCTACTGTACCGTTTCCCTTAAAAGTACCAACACTACCCGCGCAAGTGAACGAACTGGTCACCTCGTGCTCGCCACCCGTGGGTTTATAACACAACGCAGCGCACACGGAGTAACAACTCGAAAATGCCAAATATGTTAGTTAAATAGCAGAGGAACACGAACGCTGTCGGTAGACCTTTAAGGCGAACAAAAGCTAGAGAAATCTCTTGAATAGAACGCGACATGAACAAACACGCGGTACCACCGACGTCCCATGTCCCTTACCGGTGGGGGGGGGG